TTAATGTTGGAATTTTGTTTTTATTGAATTCAAATCAGTGAATTTGCAATCTGCCAGGCAAGGAATCGATTTAGTCATATGTTCAGTTAATTAAAACTTCTAAATGTTGCTAATCAATCTGTGTTATAATTACTACAGTTCGCCGAGATGACTGCAGGCTAAAATAACTAAACTTCTTTTGGATCTATCAATGATAACAAAGCGAAAAATGTGTTAAATCTAAAGATGATTTCGGCTTTTATTTTTATTTTCGAGCTGTAATTTCTTCCATATATAGCTACGCTATTCCATTGTGTTTGATTTTGCTTTGATTTCACAAATTCTGTCGTACATTTCCCCAAGCGCTATATAACGTCTGATGCAATTAATTCAATTGTACCGTATATGTGGACTCGAGATAACAAATTATACCTGAAGGGGATGAAGCAACAAGCATGTGTATTAGCACCTAACGTGTGTACTGATGATCCTCCCATAATGCATGCAACTTTTTAGCCTCGAAGCCGTTAAGCAAAGCTTAATTACTCTCTTGACCTCAGGCACATTTCAAACACGTATCGAGTGCGTTTCACGAGCATGTCATGTCGCGTGTGTTGGGCAGATTCGCTGGGACAGGCGGAGATCTACATCATTGTGGCTCTCCTGATCGGTTTCTTCACCGTGGTGATCGGCTGCTGGCTATCCGACAACTGCTGGTCGCCAGAGCCAGAAGGCGTGGTCACCCTCGCATAGCCTAGTGCCGACTTCCGTGCCTCCAGGCGATAACAACTACTAAGGCGCCCCTCATACAGAATTCTTCAGGACCCCGGCCGCTACTCGGATCATCATAGTAACGTATCCGGCAACGTCAGCGGCAATCATCGACCGTTGCTCGACATCAATGACAATGACACGCTATTACGCGTATGAACATCATGCACGCGGGACCTTCTTCATCGAAGAGGTATTGTTCGATCGACGGCATCTGCGAACCAACCTCCTTCGCAAGTTCCTATTTCGCAAGAGACGAGTTTTTTTCGAGCAGAGTCAATTCTTGAGCGCGAAAAGAAACATCAAAGAAGAAAAATGAAATTAAACGAATGAACTGTGAAGTTTTTCGCTCCGTATTACATATCGATTCTCAAAGTCGCAAGTGTACGAAATAATTGCATGTCATGTTCACAATGACAATTGAAAATTGGCGTATTGAATTAAAGAAAAGCATTAAATTGAAGAAAAGATATGTTACCGATATTTCATACGAAGCAGATGATGGTGAAGTTCATTGTATTTAATCTCTCTAAGACTGACTCCGTAATTGTAAGTCAGTTCCTTTCGCGTCGTTATAAACGATACAAGAGATTTTTTTAAACTCAATAAGGTATGTGCTTGTGTAGCATGTTTTTATTTAAACTCTCTAAATCTGAATCGGTAGATAATTATTGATTACTCAGTGGCACATACTTGGGTAATCAGTAAAATTCAACTAAAAAAGAAAAAGTTTGAGCATTGTATAATTAAAATACCGATATTCACACGTCAATTCCAATATCATATGCATTGAATTTATTCATCTAAAAAAGTTAGCTAAGTTAGATATTTCACATTTTATTCATTGACTTTACCAATGACATACTTAGGACTGCTGCCACTGATTATCTACTGATTCAAATTTAAAGAGAACAGATGGTTCTATTACAGCTATTGTTATACATTCTATTATATATAATTAACGGTTAATTTAATTAATGCCTAATTAATCAGGCATTAAATTGCGCGTCTAGCGTATTATTACGGAGTCCGGAGTACTCGCAATGAATATCAATACAGAAGCTATTATCGCTTGTTACGCAATCAAGTGACAAACTCTCAGACTTGGAGATAATTGATTCCGCTTGAAGCAAGGTATTATACAGATATTAAGGGAGATCTGTCCGATAATAGACGTCGAAAGGGAGATATTTTCGAAGTAAAACATTGATCTTGAATCCATTTTCTTTTAATACAAGCACCATTTGTCGTAATATACATTGAAATATACAAATGAAATCAACGTTCTCAGTTCATTTTTCGTTTCTTTTACGATCAGGAAATTTCATTGATTGCTTAAACTCTCAAATGCAACTTCGAAGATTCGTTCTCATTTCATCAGCGGGCTCCCACGTCGAATTTTCGAGTTAAATCGCCTTTATAACCGGCAGAATTACGTTTTCCAATTTTAAGATGAAGATAAAGTTAGTTTTAGGAACCTCCACCTTCCACGTCCGCTCGGATGTCCGGTTGTGAAATCCGATCGAATTCCGCAGGTTTGTATGCGCGAACGGAACGGACGGATTGCAGGAACGACAGGAGCCGACGAAGTTCTTATTGCGATAATACGCGAAGTTGCTGCATCGGACGGCGACACGTCAGTGGCCGCAACGAAGTTGCGGGCCGTGCACAAAGTCCAAAATGGGTCAACAAGCCGTGGTCATCCCCCTCGCTCACTCTCGCCGAGAGCCCGTAACATCATTAAAGCACATTGCATCGAAACGAGCAACGCGTTCGTCGATTCTCAGTACATGCAGTTCGTAGCGTGAATAACGACTCGCCTACATGTCTTAATCATCATGTTGCACGTTTATGATGTCGACCGCGAAACCCGTCGGGAATGGTTCTGATCCGTAGTTAACTCTCGTTGAACCCTAAGCTAGTTTCTGTCCGCCATCCTCTCAAATTTCGACATCGTTCTGTATTAATTTGGTCATCAATTTCTCATTAATCTTTAATCGCTTCAATTATTATTTTATTATCTAACATATCGTATCATTAAAAGACTGCTTTTCTCTTCTTGTACATCGTCACGATGATATTTGTTGGATTGTTGTGTAAAATCAAATTTGATTATTTTCAATTGAAAATGCAGCGATAATTGTACATACACTGACAGCGCAATTAAAAATGCAGCGATAATTGTGTATACTTTCTTGTGAAAATCAGACATAATCTAGCAATTTGAAATGAAAATTTCAATTTTTTTATGTTGGACATGGATTGCTGAACGCGCTACTTTAGATAAATAAATCGTAACCGTTATTTGTAATATTTAATTCTTTATGCAATACCAACAATTTATCTAATATAATATACGATTATTTGAATATCACGTCAAATCCAGAATTTATTTACGTCATCATATGTTAATTACTTCGTACAGAAGAAGCCACTAACATATCTTAGGTATGTATCGGTTATATACTTAACTAAGCTATAGAAGCTGTTAATTACCATCGTATTGAACCGTAGGATCGAGTATTGACTTAACGACGTCAGGAATGGCTCGATGCGATTAACTGAGAATGTCGGAACCGTATTGGTTTTACTTTACAGCACACCTTACAGTACACATTGTGCAGTAGATATAGTAGAATTGTTTGCACGAGCTATACCACTGGATTAATGAAATCCAGTAAACGAAATACAGTTGCCGACTTGTTCAGTTGACAACTTTTGTTCAATATTAACACGAAGGCATTCTTACGATCCACGCTTTAATTCTAGAACTCCATACATTTTTAATAATAAATTCTATTGTCCCTTTTATCTCAATAAATTTTTAATTTAACTTTTAATCTGATTTTATTATAAAATATTTGTTGAAACTTTTTTTATTCAATAATTCTATTCATTACTTCATTTATATTTTCTATTCGTTTTAGTTTCTATAATTAGTGTCAAGATTTTTATTTAACAATTTTATTAAATAATTTTTTAACAATTTCTTTAAAATAATATAAGTTTTAGAGATTCATTTTTCCTTCATTTTCAATTTTAATAAATTAATAATGTTTCTGATAAACGTATATATTGGAAGCTTTGTTTCATTTGATTAGTTTTCAATAGAATTATTGCAGCGGCAATAATATACGTATTTGGGAAAATGCCGCGTTTCTACAGAAAGACGAATCTTGTCTGCAAGATCCGTATAATTGTGATTTCTGCCGTATGCCTTTATTAGTCAATACGGTGATGAAATCCAGTTAGTGAGAGAAAAGTTAAAAACGCGATTTCAGACCTGAATATCTCTAAGCGGCTCACTTCAGAATCCAAATCTTTACAGTATAAATATCAGATAATTGTTGGTCTGGATTTATACGAATAATAAACAAAATGTGATGTTTATTTCGACTAGCAAAAATTACTTTAATTTATCAATGTGAATTAACGTTAACTTCAATTTTATTTAATTTTAAATAAGTTAAATCGAGATTAAAATTAATCCACATTAATGGAAAAGGACTTTACAAATCTACAATTAAAATAAGAGAGACATACTTCGTGAAGTTTCTTCATTTAAATAGATACAAATCTAGCTAAGTGCACTTGCAAGTATTTGATTTCTTATTTTTAATTAATTATACGTCGTATCTTAACCAGTTCTTTTTTTATCTACACTGAGCTGTTAAGAAATAACTACGTCTATGAATTAATTAATAAACGTTACTTTTATTTGACGCAATGCCAAAATGAAATGAATGAAAAAAGAACTTTTAAGGAAATTAATATTTCAAAGTTGACAAAAATTTGCGTGTAAGTTTACAATTAGACAAATTATTTTAGAAACGTCATTTAGAACTTTCCAATAATTTGATGCAGTCGGCGCCAGAAAGAGAGTGATTAAATACTGCGAGAGTTCTTTTTTAACCTGCGGCGAATTGCAACATGCTAATATCGCACTTTCGGCCTGACGGAAAAATTGGAAAAATTTTACGGTGTCATGTAGATTTGATGCACTCGGGCATTTGCGGATGTATGCGCGTGACATAAACGCGAAACAACGAACAAGATGCAGATATCTAGGTGCATAGTGCACGACAGTAGCAGACAGCACGATATATCACGTCATTCGAAAGGGACGCGATTGCTGTCGAATCAACCATCCCCGTTCTTTTTTTTTTCCTTTTTTTTTTCCCGCATATTGTCCCATGCAGAGCGAGCGGGCCGCATTGACAGACTAATTAACCCGGAAACCTCTCTATACAACTTCCTCTATGCCGCGTTTATTTTATCTGTCGCTCGAGAGCCCGCGGGCGCGTACACACACGCACGGTTGATCGATTAATTGAATTTTGATGCGCTCAGACAGGCGACTGATGATCTCAAAGAGCAAAAATTACCTCCCAGAAATTTCATTAAAATGACAGTCGCATTAATTCTTTAAAGAGAGACATGCAACATGCATTTATTTTTTATGTTGAAATATAATATTAGAAAGTAATATATCGTGAAAATATGATATAATAATAATTCTTTCTGCCTTTTTAAAAGACATCCATTATTTTTAAATTTATTTTATTGATCTTATTTATCTTTATTTGTTTTATTCAGAATTTTTTGCTTTGCCATCAAACAAAGCGTAGCTTTGTATTCTCTTATAACAAATTTACATTATCTAAACTGTTAACCATTTTTACAAAAAGATCAATATCTTTATTTAAATAATATTTTTAAATCTGCATGTATAATAAAATATATTTTTATTTGATATTTTCAATTCGCTCGTTAATTTTGTTCAAAATTCTTTGCCTTGCCGTGATAAAAGTACAATAGGATTTATATTTAGTTCTGAACTCTTACAATAAATTGCGAATTACGTTTACACTATTCCAACTGTTTAAACTATCAATGTTTTCATTTAAGAAAATCAATTTCCAATTTCTCTTAAGAATCTATAAAATTTCTTAAATCT